GTAAGTCCCCATGACAGCTAGTTACTCTAACTTTGAGAAATGTGAAAAGCAAGCACGCTTGCTTTCCTTGCTTTCCCAAATGGGAAATTTGGATCTGTTGTTCTGTAGCATTAATAAAAAGAATTAAAAAGAAAAACCAGTCCAAACTCCTACACTTCAAGACTCCTCTGCATGCAAAACCAGGTGAGCCTATGCCAATTYTTTCCAGCATGTGTGTTGAGACTTGGCTGATGCTGCATTCCACGAATAATTCCTCTTCTCTGTGCCTGCAAGACATTTTGGTGTAGGAATTAGAACACAGTCCAACATTTCAATTAAAATAATTATTCAAAATGAGCAAATGCTGAGGTACTTCCATTGTTTCTTACTTACRGGGTGCCATTTAAACTTTCAGAGAGAAACTTTGTTTATAGAWTAGTTCTAAGGAAATCCTGTATCTCACTTGCTTCTCCTAAAGATTAAAACCCCCTCTAAGGCCTCCTTGTAGGAGGACATTGAATGTACAGGTAAAGATCTTAGTGCACATTCAGGAAAAATTTCCTAATAAAATAAACTACGGGGCCACAAATACTGTGCAGGATAGCACATAAAATTATTCTATAGCTTGCATAGAACAATCCATTATCTCCCTTTCTAATATAAATTTGAATATTAATAAAGCATCTCGCTAACCTTTTTACATGCTTTGCTTTAGTTTCTCTCTTAATACATAGGAAAACTAGGAAAATATGAGCAATTGTTTTACTTTCTCTTTATTYAGACTGAGAAAAATCAGGGTTCGTGAGAACAGCACATATAAACAAATAGCCTTTTTTTAATTACAAATTGCTATTAACTCTCATTTCKTATGCAAGAGCATTCTCAGAGAGAATCTGGTCTGGTGCTGCAAGATTCTGTGATTTCTAAGCTCCAGCAGTTGTTGTGTGTAWATGCATCATATCTTTGCTGAGGCAAGTTCTATTCTTTGACTCTAAATGTCTCCCCTGTGGCTCAACCCTTTCCTGTTGCTTTCATGAAAATGAGAAATAGTCCTTGATCACAGAGTTCCCAGGTTTTTCCTCACACTGACAAAGGAGATTGTTGTTAGCCTKCTGGCAAGTGTTTTGAACTGTACCAAAGGAATGGGATTGGAGTGAATATTCTCATGCGTTGGGAAGAGGGTTTTCCATCCTCGCCAGAAGTGTTATGGACATGGAGATGGGAACGTGCAAGGGAAGTGGCAGTGCACTAAGCAAAGATCTTTGGGCAGTTTCTCAACTTTTCCCACTTGTGACCTCACTTCCCAGTGCGCTTCCAGGCTCATGACCCCACTTCTGATTGCCAGCCCTRCTCCTGCAATCAACTTCCCATCGAGCCACCTCTCAAGTGCCACGACCTCTTCTTTGTAACCCCGTGTTCTAAGAGGCTGCTAAAGAGGTAACTCCCTGGTGATTCCCTCAGCACAGATGCTGCCAGCAAACCACRGAGATCTCAGTCTGCCTGCCCTGTATTTCCTCACACCAGGATGGAAGGAATTTACACCCTGGATTTTGTCTGGGACAGTAATTGTCTTGCCATTATACACCCCTGTCCTTTAAATTGTAGAAATAAGAAGTTTAAAGCCTCAAAATACAAGRAGGCCAAGATGTCTCACCCTGGCCAGCCTGGTCACCCAGCCTGTGATCTCTCAGGCTCAAGGGTACATTTCCACTGACACCCAGACTCCTCCATGGAGGATTGCAGGAGGATGTGAAACCACACCTTGCCATGATTCTTTCACAATCACTTCACCCACAAATTGCAGTGTTCCTTGTGTTACTAACAGAGGGAAAGAGAAAYTAAGCCATCCTTGTAAACATCTATTCATTTTAATCCTTCCTCATAAAATGATGCCTCAGCTCCTGACTCTATGACCCTTCATGTCTGGTTTCCTCCCATTTTGCCACTGAAGTCTGAGAGTTGTCAACAACATGAGCTTTCTCAGAGGCTGTCTTTTATACCTCTAATCACAGAAGAACTACAGACCCAGGTCACAATTTAGGACTGAAACTGATGCCTAATCAGCCTCAGAGATGCTCTCCTCTTCTTGGTATCTCCTGTTCTGAGCTGCCCCAAATCCCACTATGTTTCATTTGTCAGACTGCAGATGTCACTGCAGATTGGTAGAATCCCACAAGGATCCACATTCAGCTCTCCACTGAAGATCCACACAGGTCAGCCTAAGTACACACATGCAGGCTCACTAAAGCAACAGAGGGGAAAACGCATCCTACAAAATGTTTTTGTTTTAATAACAAATATTTTTTACAGTGTGTTGGTACATCTACCACACATTAAAAATGCAATCTCTGACTGCAATAACCACAYAGGGAACCTTGGATTCAACTGAAAATTTCAGATGCCTGTTAGCAGTAATGCCTCATGACTCCCTCTCTCTGACTCTGTTTTTCTGAATACGGGGGAGATCTTCACACCTATGTACAAAGGCACAGAAGCATGGATTGATTTTTTTTTTCCCCCTTAATGATCACGCTTGCCAGAATGCAAGCCAGGAAATACCAGCTTCCATAGGCACTGCCGCTGTGGGTGGTTCAAGGCTCGTTCACCCATCCCTCTGGGGGAACAGATGTTGCCACTGATTCACTTTGCAAGCATGTGAGTCAAAGTCTGCATCTGTGACAACTTACAGTAAAGAATTGTGAGCAGCTGCAGAGCAAAGAGCACAGAGTGAAAAGTCAGTCAAGATGTAAGGCAAGATACGGCGTCAACCCTGAAAACTGACAAATGGAATCCATTTGATTCAAGCTGCAGCAAATCTACCTGAGCAGAAGAAAGAAACAGAAAGAAGAGACAGACAGCAGTTCACTGAGTGCCCCGTGTATGATCCACAGTGACTGCTCTCTGACGCCTTATGTACCTCCTTTAACAWAAAAAAAAAAAAAAAGCTGGAGGGAGTCTGCAAGACACCACAGGACTTCTAACATAACTTCTGCTCCGAGTGCTGCAATCCCTCCCTGACCCAGTGAATCACTCAGAGGGTCTGGCTGAAGCTCTGCACCTTGCCATTTGCAGCCACAGAAAGATCTAGGACATTCTTCACTGCAATGAAAGCGTTGATTCAAGTGCTGCTGGTCAAATTCCTTTTTTATCATTTATTTTGCCTCTTTGATACAATATGGGCACACTGTCAAAACCAGGGGAGGTGGCTTCTAATTGGTATGCAGTACCTACCTCACACCACAGGCAAGAACAGTTCAGCTGACACCGATGTAATTGAAGTTATGTRTTGGTTGTTGTTTGCAAAACAGGTTGGAATTGTCTACATGAAAAGTATTGCCGACATAAAGAAGTAAAACTACCTCTGTGCCTACACAGAAAGTGAACACTGAGGTGTGGAAAAAAAAAGTGTGCAAATATTTGATCAACTATCTAAACAAATGTTTGCAATTGCTGTTTTTTCCTCCTTTAAGTTTGCATTTTCTGGATATTTATGACATTGGATTTTACTATCTCAAATGCTTGTACAAAGCAGAAATGCACAAAGCTGCACACTGAGAAGGAATGGATTTTAAATGGGTTTTATCCCTARTTTGACAACAAGCAGGATTATGTTACTACACAGGTCAGTCACAAAAGAGAAACAATTCCACAAGTCTTAAATAAATTAGGCTTATGATGTGAGAACTTTCTCAGACTTACAGGTAGCATTGGTGCACCAAAAGATAGTTATCTTTATAATCTTCAAACAACTTATAATAAAACTAATTTAGTCAAAGTCAGGGTTTTCGCCAGTCAGAAAATTTTTCTAGCTGTTTCCAAGACYAATTATGCAAAGGGAAGCAATATCTTCAAAATTATGTTCCTTATGAATGTTTTGTCTTCCAAACCCGGTGTGGTTCAGGGACTTCTTAAATTTAAAAGGAGTGATTTGACTACATGAATAGTTTCTATTTCTTGCTGGGGTAGGATTTTCCCTACTGCATATGCTATTTGTAGCAGCATAGTAGC